AGTTAAAAATTTCACGCATCAGCGTATGAAAGTTGAATTCGAAACCTTGAAGGATGAATATCTTTCCGTGACTCCCGAGTTAGTAGCTTACCCACCAAAATTTTCACGAGGCTGTAGGTGGTACCTGAAAGCGCGAGAACGCTGAATTTGAATGGGCAAGGTTGAGCGTGAGCAAAGAGTCATCACCCTAAAATTTCAGCCTCCTAGACTCCGTGGTTCCCGAGATATTAACTTGCCCGTGAATAACTTTCACGGGGCCGTGCGTGTTACCCGCGTGTAAGGGAAAGCTGAATTTAAATTTGCGTGATCACACGTGGGTGGGGAACGTTCCCCTAAATTTTCAGCTTCCTAGCTTTTGTGGTTCCGGAGTTGGAAGTTGCGAACAAGTTGCTGCGGACACACGTACACACAAACACACACACAAACAACCCCCGTGACAATATGCGTTTTGTACTGCTGTTACACAGCACATAACGCATAATAATATCGAGAGTTCTGCTCCATCATATCCATACAACAGATACTCAGCAGAGATAATGCAGCACACGGACCCCTTTAGTAGAAATATCATGAAATAAAAACATCATAAAAATGTCATGAAATTCACAAATTACATGCATCTTGCGTAAATTTGTATTAACTAGAGAAAGAGCATTAAAAAAACCAGGGAACTTGACGAAAATTTGGATTGGCATTTTCCTGCTGTAAAATTTTAATGAATTAGGGAGTGTATGACGGCCTAGGAGGAATCGAACCAGCAGCAATCGTTACGAATTAGCCTTGGTGCCCGTGAACAGCACTGCCTTATCTAGAACGATGTGATATCTCCCGAACTAATAAATTATGAGATATATCTACCAATTTTGATAACGCTTTCTTTCAATGCGAGTATCAGTTTTCTCGTTACTCTACGTTAATTTTATCTTCATTTTTTTTAGTATCTTTTGATAGTACCATATGCGCCATGTGTTGTTTTCAGGCATTATCGAATGGGTATCAAAGAAAGCGGATCCCAACTACAAGCCACCTCCGTCCAGTGTTCTCACACTGAGCAAGGAAAATTTCACTGAAAAAATCAACTTAGAACCATTGATGCTCGTCAAATTCTACGCCCCATGGTGTGGACACTGTAAGAAACTGGCGCCTGAATTTGAAAAAGCCGCTAGGCAGTTAAAGGTTCGTGATTTAATGCTCAGGACAGTTCCTGTCCCGAATTTCGGAAAGCTCATTATGTTATATGGATAGATATAGTTGAGTTTAACGAATGAAATCAGATTTTTTGGCACTGCAGTCAAAATTTATGAAAAAATTTGGTTATGATTTTTGAAATTTTTTCGCGAAATTAGTTTTTATTTGACTGGTGGTTTTCCTAGAGTTATTGGTACACTTTGGCTCTGTTTATGAGATGGTACTTTGAGCTTATTGAACCAAACTAAATATTGATTAAGTAATATTTATGCGGTTTTGATGTACGTAGAATGTTTGGAATAGAAATACGTAGTTTGATTCTTCGATTAAACAGCTGTGGATCCCGGCACTTCATTCATCTCCTGAAAGGATTACCAACTCAGTGAGTTCCTCAAAAAGCACTTCGCAAGGCTTTAGCTTTATCGAGCTGTAATTCTGTGTAAGTGCGTCAAGTATCACCAACTCGTCTAAAACGTTGCCACTTCTAGGCTACCTTTAGGCCTTGGTTTTTTTTTAGCAGATTCACACCGTTTGTTACTGGTATTAGGCAGTGGTGCCCAGTAGTAGAGAATGAAAGTAGTACGATTTGATTTTCTTCGTTCAAAAGGGTTTTTTTTTTTCTTTCAAATATCCGCCTCCCTGATATGCCGTGTAGATTTTGCTTTCGTTCCGAGGAATTCAAATTCTGTTTTTTGTTGGTTGAATTTTAGACCATGTGGGCGATCAGTTGCTGAGCTTTTCACATTTTCTTCGCAGATTCCTCTCCCTATTTGGCATCTTGTTCTAGTATCAGTCTTTGAAAATACTACGCTATTGTGGACCGTCGATCCGATCGCCATAGGCTATTTTTTAACCCATTACTCTTCTGTATTGTCGTTTTAGGCAACAGTTGAGTTTTTACCCTTATTCACGTCCTCCTTTGAAGTTCTTTTTCGCTTTCTTTCAAAAAGTTAGATTTGTAGGAAGATGTGCAAAAATATCTACCCTTAGAAAACGGTAAAATTGTAGCTTTTGTTACATTTCGTTGTTTCTCGTCAGGAGAGGAATATTGTGCTGGCAGAAGTGGATGCCACCGTGGAGACAAGCCTGGCCGAGGAGTTCGATGTCACTGGTTATCCAAAGCTAATTATTTTCCGGTATGGCAAGAAATTCGAGTACAAGGGACCTCGTGATGCTAGGGGTATTTCCTTTCTCTCGTCACAATCAAAAATCTGTTGTTTGGGAAAATACTTCGCTTCATACGTTGTTTTTGCTTCCTTATGGGTCAAGATTTGATGATCACGTGGAACCTTTTGAAGCGTTTGAAATTAAGACACTCCTTATTTGTTATATTTTATTGGCACTGTCTCTTATTAAATAGTAGTATATTCATTCCAACGCTACTGTGCTATTTGTTTGTACTAAAATTTTCCTTTTCCTTTATCTTTTTCCTTTGTTAAATTATTACATTGCCAATGCACATATGTTTATACATATATATGTGTACATAAATGCACTTTTACCGTTTGCTTTAACCTTTTTACATTATCTAAATTTTCCTTTTTCTTTTTAACACATTGCATGTAATTTTTGCTGCAACCGTCACACTGACGAGGTCCAGTTGCAGCACTGAACAGGAATGTATGCGACTT